CCGGCCGCCCCCGGCCTCACCAGCGGCTGCGCGGTGCCTGGCGCCTCCTCCCGCAGCAGCTGCCCCGGCGTCGCCGTCCACACAGCGCTGGGCAGAGCCGCTGAGCGCCCCGCCACACCGGCCTCCGGCCTGCCCGGCGTCCCCGGCGCGGCAGCCGGGAGCTCCTTCCAAAGGGAGGCGGGTTTTGGGGCCTCCCCAGCGCTAACCCTTTTCCCCGTGAGTTTTCCCTGCTAAACAAACCTTTCCTTTGCAGGCTAAACCAGCCTGTCTTGGCTGGTTTACTTTGGTTTGGTTTGGCCCCTGCTGTGCTTTGCACGCACCCCGTGTTGGTTGTTGCAGTGAGGCACAGGGTCCCATTTGTGAGGGCAAATTGGTGATGGGTGTGCAGGTGAGACTGGGGGCAGCGGGCAGGGGGATCGGGGAAAGAGGGATGCAAAGGGCTCCCTGGAAAACCCGCCCCAGCAGCGGAAGGAAGCTGAGGCTGCCACCTCCTCCCTCGCCCCTTTGCCAGGTTGCTAATAAAGGCATTAAATGCCCCGGGGTGTCAGTACTGACTGGGTGCGATCCCGCCTCAGCGTCGGCCAGGATGCTCCCTGCTGCTCCCGTCCCGGAAACACCATGTCCATGGAGAAACCATCTCCAGGTCCCGGGGATGGGGCYCCCCTTCTTATGGTGGCCCTGCCCGGGGACCCCAACGGTACCGTTGCCTCCTGAGGTGTCTGTGTGTCCTGGCACGTCCCCTTCGATGCTCCGTTTGCCTCTGCTGTCCCTGTGTCTGGCTCCTCCGGGGTGGCCTCGCTTGCACCATCCATCCTCGCCCTTGGCTTCCTCCCGAAACACGGGAAAGTCCCGTCTCCCCCAACCCTGGTCCCCAGGGAGCCCCTCAGGCCTGGGCTGAAGCTCCTGSTCCCGGTCCCAGTGGCTGCTGTCCCACACGCAGGGAGCTTCCATGGCCGATCCCAGGTATCTTCCCGACATGTCCCACCCCAGGGCYTCCCCTGGGCCAGCAGGGAGCAGCCCCACACAGAGAATGACCCCACGTCCCATATGGACCGTCCCCGTGTCCCACATGTCCCACCTCCGCTCCCCTGTCCCACCTCCGTTCCCCCGTCTGTTTGTGCCCGACTCCGGTTCCCCCGGCAACAGCCAACGGCGCCGGAAGCGCCGCAGAGCAGGGGGGGCTCCGGGTGGAAACTGCTCCATCCCCATCCCGATCCCCATCCCAGCCCCGAGTGGGGCTTGCGGAGCCAGAGCCAGGGACAGGCTCCGCTCCGGCCCCTCGCACAGGGTCCCGCGGCACCTGGAGCCATCGCCACCGCCTCGGCTCGCAGCCGCTGCGGGCTCTCCCGCTAAGCCTGGATAATAACAAACTGGAAACAACTTCTCACTGCCTGATTTGTTTTGCCCTTCTGCCCAGCATGAGCCTGGTGCCCCGCCGGGAGGGAAAAACGGTTTTGTTCCCATTTCCGACGGTCTCCAGGCCCCGTGGAGGCCGTGGCGCTGCTGAGCTGCGCTCCAGGGCACGGCCAGAGCGATCGGAGGGGCTCGCGGCGCAGGACCAAAGCCTGATCACAGGTGGGGGACGCCGGCTGAGCTGCTGAACGGCAAGTCCCCAGTTCGGCAGCAGGTATCGCACGCACGCGGTTTGCAGAGCCAGGAAGGGGATCCCCTTCCCCTGCTGCCCTGGCAGCTGAAGCGGCAGCTCCGGGATCCGCTCCTGCCCYTCCGGACTGCTTCCCGGCTCCATAGGGGACCGACCGGCCCTGACACCGGTGCCGGGCTCTGMCCTGGTTCCTGGTGTGGCCTCCACAAACACTTCTGGGCAGTTGCAGCMATTTCCATCCCCTTTTCCAYCCCCTCCATCCTTTGGATCAGCACGTGCACTTCTAGGCTCGCTCTAGGCAGGGATTTTTTGTTTTACCCAGGAGCTTTCTGTCCCCATTCCCTGATGCCAGCCCCAGCAGATAGGAGCAGGAGCTCCTCGGTTTAAGGGTGGTCTGAGGTCCTTCAGATCTTATYCACCTGCAGAACATTTTGCAACTTAACTGTTGGGATTGCTCATCCTTTTCTACTCCAGACACAACCAGGGGCTGCGGATACAGCAGCTCTGTCCTGGAACCCTCTGAAGCTGCAGCCCCTGCCCCTGCGGAAGGGGAACAAGCTCCTGGGAGCAGGAATTCAACTTCCTGATCCAGACACTGGCCTCACCGCGACCAGACAGGGAGCTGGAAGCCGGGAGACCGTTTCCCCGGGGAGCACAAACGCCAAGGCCTGGGAGGACACGTCCCCCGGCCTCGGCCCCAGATCCACCTCGGCACCTACCCCGCAGGGACGGACAGGAACAGCTCCGCACGGAGCAGAGTCGCTACGTGCAGGAACCGCAGCAGTGCTGGCGGGAGAGACGACTCCTTTGGCAGGAAYGAGGCTCCCGGATCTGCTGCACAGTACATTTAAAAATCCCAATTTTTGGCAAGCCCGTTACTGACCCTGCGGTCCCACACACAAGGTACACCCTGCGGCAGAGCAASGGGAAGGTACGTGGTGACTGCAGACATGGAAATCGCTTTGTTTCCCAGGGGGATTTCACAGTGATTTTCAGAGATGCAGCAGTCCTTGTGGGTCATAGCATCTGATGAAGCTCAGCAAGGAAGACCTGGCCTTGGAACAACTCCCAACAATCCCTGGACCAATCCCTGCTGAAGCAGGATTTACAGGCAAGAGAGGGTGTCAGAACACCTCCTGTTCTCAATTATTCTTTAAGATTAAGCAAAATATTGACATGTTTTGGCCCTTTTAAAATTACTTGAAGGAACAAAACTGGAATTGCCAAAGTAGAGACCAACATCAGACTGTGTTTCATATGGATTATGGAGATCCAATCTTATCCCAAGAACACTTCCATCGGCTCCTGCAGCAGTACTTCCCCATGGTACCACAAAGGAATCAGAGATATGAGTCTTGCTTTGAAGCTTTGTCATTTCAGAAAGGATCCGCTCTATCAGATCTTATGTTGAAATACAAATGCCTGAAATAYCAAAAGGATAAAGCTGCTCCATTGCTCCATTTAACAGGGACCTCCATGAGTGACTTGAGAGCGTGTTTATCAAGCCACTTTTTTGGTCTGTTTCAGTACTGGTTATTAACACTCACCGCAAAGCTGCTCGTTACGTTTCACATGTTACTAATGCCCACAAGCGGTTTACAAAGCACTAATGAAACACTGGCATCTTACTTGGCTTTGGCACCAGGAGATCCACAGTTATTGCCCCAAAATAACAACTTCTGCAGAAACAGAGATAGATGCAGTACTTGGGTTTATTGTTTTGGGAGAGCACTTAAGTTCAACTGGAAACAAGCTTAAAACAAACCTAACACACCCGAAATCCTCCTGAGGAGTTTATACACCATAAAACCATCCATGGTAAATAAGCTCACTTTTAAAAATCAAGTTAGGACTAATTTTACATCCTCATGACTATAGGAAACAGTAAAAGTAAAGAAAAATAGCATTATAACCCCTATTTTTGTCCCATTAACTTAAAATAATTAGAGTTCTGAAAATTCTTTCATACTTAGCAACTTCAAAAGTCATAATAACACACAGAAGATCAAACTTGCATGTTTCCTGACTGTGACCTATTATTACAGAGAAAACTTAAGTGTTCCAAGACTTTTTGACATCTTTTGCAAGATGTTCAGTGAGAAGGGGAAAGAAAAAATGCTTTGTTACCGACAAATCAGCATTTTTTTTTTTTTAAGAATCTGTATCTTCATTAACTGAAAAACTTTGCCTATCTTTGCAGCCTGATTGTGAATTCAYGCGAGGTGTAAGGGATGAGGAGACATATCCTGCAGCTCAGCATGCTGCTCCTCACGAACCAGCGTGGTTCTGAGCAGTGGCCAGGCCCTGCTCTGTCAGCTCCTTCACACTCGGCGCGTTTGGCACCTGGAGGTCACAGCCCCTGAAATATTTGTTCCAGCAAAACACACGAAGACTGTAGGGGAAGTTTTCAAATCAGATCCGAGTCCAGAAAGCAGCCACAAGCTTCAACTTTACTGTTCTCCAAGCAAGAGTCATCTTTGCATGGGAATGATATTGCAGCTGGAAAARAGTGTAGAAAGAAACATTAATGTCTCAGCTCCCAAAAAAGCAAAGAATATCTAATATAACACACGCCAGAGCCTCCAAGTGCCTGTTCCATTGGAYTGCTTTACTAGTGGCCACTGAGATCTTTCCCCCCTGCGCCCGTTGGATGCAACCCATCAACCCTCATCACTGTGATGAGCTGACAGGCCCCAGTTCTCATTGAGTACATCAGGGCAGGCAGCAACACAAGGAGCGGAGCCTGGAGCTGGCCCTGCTGCAGGAATTAGCTCCAAGCTGCATAAAAGCTGCATCCACACGAAGCAAAATAGCAACCTACCCCAGAAGGCCCTTCCCGGCCCAGCGCTTTGGTGTCAGCCCCACGTGCACCTTCTTGCCACCGCGGATCACAGTCACACTCAGGGGTCTCTGAGAGAGGATAAAAGTAAGAAAAACAAGGAGACAACAACTTTCCWTTACCGAGTCATCCCTCTTCTCCATTCCTTTGCTGAAGTACCAGAGGAAGAACATGTGGCCCTGGCACAGCTAGACCTGGAAGCAGGGAGTRTGCGTGGGGAGACAGCTCTGCAAGGCCTCTCGCTTCCACTCCACGGTGCTCCATGGCTGCAGTTGCTCCTCTGGCCAGGCCATGTGGCCATCATGGCAATAAGCTCCTACTGCTGCAGGGAGTCTCCCAGGGGAGGAGCACGGATCATATCAGGAACCTCTTAGTGCTCTCTTCATCCAGCTCTCTAGGCAAAAGTGAGCTCAGTGCTGTGGTAGAACAAGGCCAGAACAGCACAGACTGAATTTGACACTGTTTCTGACAGGGCAGGGATGACTGCAGAGATCTAAATTCCACCGAAAAACCTGCAGCTAAGAAAGACAGTCAAGAAAACACAGGTACAGCAGAAAGGAGCTCACCCCCTCGCTGTGCTGCACCACTGTGGCGATGTTCTGCAGGTTCTGGAAGTTGTGTGCGTTGACAGAGCCAAACTCCACAATCTCATCATCCACCTGGAGCCCCTGGACAGCGAGAGAAGGTAGATGAGCTACGCTTGACGCAGACAGGGCAGGTAACCTAAGAGCCTACAACTGATTCCCACTGTCAGCAAGGAAGCAGAGCCACCTGCCACGTTTCTGGGTCCCCCAAAAGCCCCCAGGAGCTGTCAGGCCGCACAACTCACCGAGAGACTGGCAGGAGAGCCCGGTGTGACCTCGTTAACGCGGGCAAACGGCCGGGGCTGCCCCTGCTCCTGGCTCCGGGCCTCGGCCAGGGCTTCCGCCTCGTCCTTGGCCTGCTTCTCCTTCTCCCGGGCGTGCAGCTGGTGAAGGGCTTCCTCCACCTCCTTCATCAGGGCCTTGTGGTCGTTCTGCAGGCCTGCGGGTGAGGGATGTTAGCACAGAGATAACGGGAGCACGGCCCGTCTCGGGGCTCTTCCTTGGCAGACCCATTTTCCCCCACTACTAAGATATGGGCTGGAAACTGTATCCTGCAACCCCTGGATCTCAGCCGGGACGAGCAGTAACTCCCTGCCAGGTCATGTCAGTGCTGGGGACAGCTCTGCTTGCAGCAACAAGTCTGTTGATATAGCTTAGATGCAGAGAAACCACCTACAAAGTCCACTAAAAATGCCRGGAAGGGTAAGGGCTCGGAAGCTCCCCATTTTTCAGGAAAACAAAGTTTCTTTTTAATTTTCTCCTCCTCCCATCAAATCTTAAGCATCCAGAGCAGCAACCATTCCACATACARGGCATGAAGCAAGCATGTGCAGAAATAAATATCTTAAAAAAAAAAAAAACCTAAAGCTTGTCTTAAAACAAACACCATGAAAGCGCTTCACTGCATTTCACGAGTCCCAGACAGCCCCACAGCAAGAGCACAAGGCATTTTAGTGCCCGAGCCACCCCTGCCAGCCGGGAGATGGGCTCAAAATACGCTAAAAACGAAGCGGGAGCGGCCCTGCCGTGCGGAATTTGGGGCTGAACTAAAATTTTGGCGATAACGCAGCAGCGCGCGGCGGCAGCTCACAGATGATGTTGTGCCGGGCCGTGCGCACTTGGTAGAGGTCGATGTCGGCGCGCGGGAACCCCTCCACGTCCACGAGCGGCTCGTTCATCCCAACGCCCTTTTGCTGCGCGGGAGAGAGGCGGTGACGGGGCTGCCGCGGCCGCCCGCGGGGCGCCCCCGCCGCCGCCCGGCACTCACGTCCTCCAGGACCTCGTAGTAGGCCTTGATCTGCGCCTCGATCTCGTCCTTCCTGCGCACCAGCTGCTGCACGTCGCTCACCGTGACGGCGCGGCCGCCGCTGCCGGGCTGCGCCATGGCGGCCGCGGGGCGCGGAAAGCGCCGCGATAGAGCGCGGCGAGGGACAAGCGCGTCACAGGCGGCGCCGGGGCGGGGCCGCGAGGAGGGGCGGGGCCGAGCAAAGGGGCGGGGCCTGGCGGGAAGGGGCGGGGAGAAAGGGGGAAGGGGGAGTGGTCTGCATGAGGTGTGGTCTGCGTGAGGTGTGGTCTACAAGGGGCGTGGTCCGATGAGGGGGCGTGCCTCATTTGAAGGGCGTGGTCGCTAGAGGGGGCGTGGTCAGAGGGAGCGGGGTGTGGCCTGATGGAGGTAGCGTGGCCAGTGGGCACGGCCGGGGAAGTGGGCGTGGCCTCTGCAGGGGCCGTGGCCCTGAGAGGGGGCGTGGCCCCGAAGGGGGCGTGGCCCGGCCCGCGCGGCCGCAGGGGGCGGTGGCTCGGCCGCGCCCCGGCCCGTTGCGTGTGCTGAGCTGCCCCGTGCTCTGCGGCGGGCGCCCGCAGCGCTACAGGGGCCTGTGTGCCCCCCTCCAAGGGCGGCCGTGGATGAGCCTGCCCTGCTCATGTCGCCTTCGCGAGGGGCGTCCCTTGGCAAGCACCCGCAGGCGGCACTAGAAGCGCGAGGTGTTGGTGCTGCTGCGGCTTCCCGAGCGCTTCCAGCTGCTGCGGGCGGGCGGCTGCACCCGCGCGTGCTGCTCTTTCACCCACCCACAGCTGCAGAAGGGCGTTCCTTCCTCCCCATGCCTCTCTGCAAACGCCTCCCGCCCTGGGGCAGAGGCTGGAGGCCGCAGCAGGTCCTGGCGCGGTGGCCTCCCGCCCCGGGGCAGCGGGGATGGGGTGAAGGGCCGTGCGGGCTGGGGCTGGCGGGGCCAGCAGCAGTGGGGAGGCGCTCGCGGCGGCTCCTGCGTCACACACAACGGGCACCACGTGGCTTGCGGGACCTGGCAGTTGTGCATCCCACACCAAGACCTCCAAGGGGCCCAGCGGCCATGGGGACTCTGCGATGGAGTCACTTGGTCCCTGGCAAAGGCGGATCCGCCYTGGCCCGCTACGTGATCCGGACCCTGCGTGCTCACCCTGGGCATGGGAGCGTTTCCAACCCAAACCAAACAGACCCCTGGACCGGGGGAAGGTGGAGCCGAGGAGGAGCTTCCCGCCACCCTGTCACTATATGAAAGGTTCCCGGCGACGCGCTGGCCTTGCCGCTGTCACAGCCATCGGGTCGCCGAAATGGTGAGGAACCAGGAATGGGAACCATGCTGAAAACAGGAGGGTCAAATGTCTGCATCCCCTCAGTGCTGGACTCCCCTGGCGTGCTCTTCCCCTCTCTTGAATGCACAATTTTTGGAGAAAAAGTTGGGAGTTGGGTAGAAAACGCCCTCTTTCTGACCTGACCTTTGGATTGCAGTTGCCCAGGGGTTAACGTGTCTCTCTTAACGCTCTCTTTTCAGACCAGCTACACGGACAAGGGCGAGAAGGTAAGCGCGGCTCCGCGGGCACCACTTGCTCTCGGCTGCTTTGGGGAGCCCCGGCCGCGCCAGTGCAAAGCAGACAGCGTTAATTCCTCATTCCTTCATCCTGGGAGGATCCAAAGTGCAACTGCTCRCCGGTTAGGCTGTACCGGAGATGGTTCCTCATTGCAAATCACTTTGTGACGGAAATCTTTTGGTTTTGGCTTTTTATTCTTGATGGTGATGGGTACTTTGCACTTCAACCCAACGCCCAAGCGGCAGCTCRACCTGTTGCAACGTTTCTTTCTAAACCCTCTACCTATTTTCATCTGTCTTTCCCATTTGGACTCAGTTAATTTAAAGCCTTTCTGCCCTTTTTGAGGTCGTGCGAGCGCATCCAGCTCGTGGCTGGGGTCAAGGTGCCATTGCTCGAGGCTGCCGCGGAGCCGGGGGCTCGTGAGACGCCCCGGCGCTGTGGGTCCCAGGCAGGCGCTGTGGGGCCCGGGCAGGCGCTGCGGAGCGTTAATCGTTAACGGTCCAAGGGCGGCGGGTCCGGCAGTGTTGGCCCGAGGCGCTCGCTGGACCCTGGCCGCGGGCGGCTTCGACACCCCCCGTGGTTTTGCCGCCTTTGCGTGGGGCTGAGTTTATTTCTTTATTCCTCCTTGCTGCTTTAGCCGCAGCGGGGCCGCTTCATCCACTTCCACTCCATCACCTTCTGGGTCGGCAATGCCAAGCAGGTAGGGAGGCACCACCGGCACCCTGTGATGGCGGCCGCGGCAGCCATTTCGTGGTGCCCATTTCGTGGCAGCCATTTCGCGGCAGCGCGGGCGGGCGCCACGGCCAACGCCGCCTCACCGGGGCCCTGTTTGCCCTTGCAGGCTGCCTCGTACTACTGCAACAAGCTGGGCTTCGAGGAGCTCGCCTACCGGGGGCTGGAGACGGGCAGCCGGGAAGTGGTGTCACACGTGGTCAAGCAGGACAAGGTGAGGCGGCCGCCATGTCCCGGCAGCTCCGCGGTGCCGGCGCCGGCCGCCTCACCCGCCTCCTGCCTTCCCAGATCATCTTCGTCCTCTCGTCCGCGCTCAACCCCGGCAATGAAGGTAAGGAGGAGGCGGCGGAGGTGGTGGCGGCTCCATGGAGCGGAGGGCTGCGGGCTGAGGCGGGCGCCCGCGTCCCTGCAGAGATGGGGGAGCACCTGGTGAAGCACGGCGACGGCGTGAAGGACRTCGCCTTCGAGGTCGAGGACTGCGACTTCATCGTGCAGGTGAGCGGAGGGTGGGTTCCGCGGGGCGAGGAGGCGGCGCTCCGGGCCCCGCGCCCGGGCGCCGGGACAGGACCCCTCTCCTCGTGCCCAGAAAGCCAAGGAGCGCGGCGCAGTGGTGCTCAAGCAGCCATGGATAGAGGAGGACAAGCACGGCAGGGTGAAGTTCGCTGTCATCCAGACGGTAGGTGCCCAGCCCCGGCTCCGCGGGCACAGCTCGGGATGTTGGGATGAAGAGGCTCCTCCGAGTCCCCATGGAGGACCCAGCGGCTTTTCTCCCGTCTCCCAGTACGGCGACACGACTCACACCTTGATAGAGAAGCTCAACTACAAGGGGCTCTTCCTGCCCGGCTACCACCCGCCCCTCTTCAAGGATCCACTGCTGCCAAAGCTGTGAGTAGTTTCCCGAAGGGCTTGCTGGTCCTTCCTCATTCCCACAGCGGCACCAGCTCGGATTCCGGCATGGGAGGAGGCCGGATCTGGCCTTATCCACTCTTGCCCTGGGTCCGCTTAGTGGATGTGCCCCTTAGCCTGGCTGAGAACTGACCTGCGTTTCCTCACGCAGACCCAGCGCCAAGCTGAACTTCATTGACCACGTGGTGGGTAACCAGCCGGATCTGCAGATGGTGCCGGTGGCAGAATGGTAGGACAGGGCAGGGCTGGCGGGCGGTGCGACGCAGCGGTGGCACCGTCGGGCTGCTCTCCAGCATCTCAGGTGCTCATGGCTGAGGACCAATTAAGCCCAGGTCATTAATATCAGCCAGGCTAGACCTGTGACATTGCAGGGTTTAAACATGCACTTTGTGGCCGGGTGCAGGTACCAGAAGAACCTGCTGTTCCATCGCTTCTGGTCCGTGGATGACAAGCAGCTGCACACTGAATTCAGCGCCCTGCGCTCCATCGTGGTCAGCAACTACGAAGAGACCATAAAGATGCCCATAAACGAGCCAGCTGCTGGCAAGAAGAAATCCCAGATTCAGGTGAGCGYGAGGGGCTGACGCTGGCAGCGGACACGTCAGGCTGACGCCAAGCAGCGCGGGGCTTTGCTGAACCGAGAGGACAGGGGCTCTGCAGAGCCAGCRGGCCCGGCGACTCGGTGGGGTTGGGAGCCGGCCCAGACTTGCGGTGCTGGCAGTGGCTGACTGCAGAGCCGCCCCTCTCTGTTTGCTCTGCAAAGAGCTGCCGAACCCTGGGGCAGCTGCTTGCGTTGCCGCAGGGCACAAGGCCAGTCTGCCCTGATTTCACAAATACAGCATTTTTTTCACTTCACAGAGTCCCTGAGTTAATTTTTACTCAATATGTTCTTAARTCCTTATTCAGCTGCCACTAGCACCAAGGACTTGCTTTCTTGCAGGAATACATCGACTACTACGGCGGGGCAGGAGTCCAGCACATTGCTCTGAACACCTCCGACATCATCACAGCGGTCAGTGGGATGCAGTGGGCTTGAGCCTTTGCCTTTGGGCCTCCAGGTCCCCGCGGCCCCGCGGGGTGAGGAGCTTCTGGAGGGGCTAGGGGGCTGGCAGGTGTTCGTGGTCACCACTGGTCCTGGGCCACCCTCCAGCACCACCTCTGGCTGCGCTCAGGGCTGCCCTGCGTTACAGATCACCAACCTGAAGCAGCGGGGCACGCAGTTCATGGACGTGCCGTCCAGCTACTACCAGATGCTGCGGGAGAGGCTCAAAACTGCCAAGATCAAAGTGAAGGAGAACATCGACAAGCTGGCGGTGAGTGCCGTCACGTCTGGCACGGGAGGGCAGCTCTGAACTTYGTCCTGGCACCCGCAGTGCATCAGCTCTCCCTGGGCCGCGTTATGGGATGTGCTTCAGAGGAATAAGGGATGCAGGAGAATCCCTCTGCTCCCCGGTGCTTCTTCCAGCTAAGCTTATTATGTCTCTGCAGGAACTGAAAATCCTGGTGGATTTTGAYGAGAAGGGATATTTGCTCCAAATCTTCACTAAACCTGTGCAAGACAGACCCACGCTCTTCCTGGAGGTCATCCAGCGGCACAACCACCAGGTTGGTTTGAGGATTCCACGGCTGTAGGTAAAGAGAAGATGGTCTGGGCCTCAAGTCACAGCCTCAGTAGCTACAAGTACCATCACCCAGACGATGACTCCTGCTGTTCTTGTACAACCCCTGCAGATCTAGCGAGTCGGTCGCCTTGTCCACACGCTCTGTAACAGTCTGTCTCTGCAGGGCTTCGGTGCTGGGAACTTCAAGTCGCTCTTTGAGGCTATAGAAGCTGACCAGGATGCCAGAGGAAACCTGACCGTCCTGAATCCCAACGGGGAGACCAACGTCCTGTAGAGTGCGCGGCTGGGCCAGCGGCTGCCGCCGGCGCTGGCAGAAACGCAGCCTCCGTCCTTAGAACGCTGATTAACAGAACCAGGAAACGGCCCATGTTTTGGGAAGCAGCCCAGAATGAAGTGTGAGAAACCCAGGAAAGTCGCTGCCAAGTTGGAAATGTATAAGGACTCAAACGCATCCCGAGCCCAGACGCTGCCCTCTGGTGACTTCCCGGCAGAGAGGAAGCGGGAAATGCCAATTCAACCTGAGTTCTCAAGGCTCGGCAGACCTAAGGCTTCCGCCGCAGGACACATTCAGTTATGGTGGAAGAGAGAAGGAACAACCAGGAGTGCTTAATTTTAGAGTATCCAAACTTTTCCATTAATTTTATCCATATGGGAAGCTGTGATGGGAAAGCCAAGAGCGGAAGCGTGATGGGGTTTGCCTCTCTGTGCATCTCATGTTTATAAGATCCTTTGAAAGTGCTTTTATATTCCATCCTGAGCTTGAATTTCCCATGATTAAACACTTGGTTTTGGGTTAGCGACAACACGCTTGGAATGAGATTTGATCTAGTTTATGTATTTCAGCCTTCCTTTCAACGCACCGTAGCCTCACTCTAATACCTTTACATTCCATGACTGGTGACCGGTTGGGCTTTTTCCAGTTTTCCCGCACGGGATGGGGCTAGCAGAGCAGCTCGGCCATCGGCCCTGACCACCACGCTTGGCTCTGGAGAGCAGGGGCGGCCACYGCGGGCAGCTGTGAGAGCAGGGAGAGCCGAGGGCTGCCCGGGAGCTGCATCCTACCTGGGAAACCCTCTGCACCGAAGGGCCTCCCCGGGCTCCGTTTTCCCCTCGTGGTCGGTCCCAGGGGGTGACGGTGCCGTCAGGGAGCACCCAAGGGCTCCAGCCCCTACGGAGCCGCTTCCCGAGCGCTCTCCCCTCCTCACGCGCACCAGGGKCCCGGAGCAGCCCTGGCCACCCATGAAGCACAACATGCTCCTTCTGTAAGAAAAGTCAGTATATTTATGGTTTGCTTTATAAAAGTTACTATAATACAATGGTACATAGTATTCAATTCACAAAAATATGAACAAATATATACAGCATGACACATCCACAACAAAAACACTTTCTTCAAAACAAGGTACATACTGGTGACAGATTCTATATGCACAAAACATCCCTAAATTTATAAATTTGCTTAACAAAAGAGAAAAGCAGAAATCTTAAATCGTCAAAGCAGAGATTGTTTTTTCAAGGAACTGAAAAAAAAAAAGAAAATATTTTTTATTCATTGCAAACCATTTTACCTGCCTCCTTTTAAAGGAGGCCCTTTATTTTCACACTGTGAATTAAAACAACTTGTTTACAGAATTGGGAAACTGCGCGGATCGGGAGCAGGATGTTCTGTGATTTTGCTTTCAAAAGCGCCCGTTCGGCAGTGTCCTTCACAACGTGCCCCTTTTCACTTGGACGAATACTACAGTGGCAATTAAGGAGGAAATTTGCAAAAACAAAACAAAAATATTAAACTGAAAAAAAAATCCAGTYGCAGACTTGCTTAAATACATTTTAGGTTGTCTATTAGACTATACACATTTCCTCGCTTGAAATAAATAGATTTTGCACATTASGTTTCAGACTAAGGGAGGGAGGGGGAAAGAAAGAAGCCTGACTTGGCAATTTTGTCTTCAGTTTCTTAATGCTTCTAATTTCATCTATTTATTTGACAAAAAAAAAAAAATATTTGTACAGAATTTACATTATACAAAGCTTGACACAAGCTGTAAATGCCACCAGCCCCTTTGCTATACCAGTCCGTCCTTCCTCCCCACCTTCTTGACACGAGTTAGAGCTGGAATCTGTTTAAAAAGAACTCCAAATTACAATAGTCACTTTTAATAAATTATTTACATGCTCTTGAAGTACAAAGAAATCAGCAAAAAAATTCAACATGTTTCTACAAGAAACAGTGTTCGAAGAGAAGATTCTTGAGTTTGCCTATGTACAGAAGATGCATTTTTTTTATACTTCAAAATCCTTTTTCTCCTTAAATTTTTATTTTATACAGAAATGCACTGAAATGATCCCTGAAAAAGGTCACAAAAACCGGAACTGAAAMTAGGGTATCCTTTGCTGGCGTTTGCCAACGTGTTTTCTCATGGAAATAAGCCGCTCTCTCCAGCACAGAGCCCTGCAGGACGCGGCCCCCGGCCCTCGCGCCGCCCCAGGCGCCGTCGTCGCCTCCTTCCTCCCGCAAATCCGAGGGGGAAGCGACGTCTCCGGGGCTCCGTTGGGACGCGAGGGCAGGGGGAGCGCGGCGAGCGGCTCCCTCTCCCTTTTGGGGTGTAAATTTCCAATTTCAGTCAAAGCCGATTAGGAAGATGCTCGCCAGGGCAGGTAGCTACGTTACACCCCGGKCTCCTCTCCCTTCCCTCCTCTCGCCCTAAATCCAAGGCACAGGCGCCTCCGGCCGCCCCGGCGCCCGCCGGGTACCGGGGGCTGCCGCGTGCGGGGAGGGAAAGGCCAAGGGCGGCCTGGCGTTGGCCGCGGCGTTCGGGAGCGCCGAGCGCCGCCCGCTCCCGCTTCCCGGGGCCACGGGGCGYTGCGGAAAGCGCCCCTTGGTCCCGCGGCTGCCAGACGCTCCCGTGGGCAGCGCCGCGGGGATGGAGGCGCCCAAGGGAGCCGCCCCGGCCGGCGCCTCCGCTCCCAGGTTAAGGCACCCGCGGCCACGTCCCGTCCCGCCACGTCCCGTCCCGCGGGGCTCCGGGGCGCTGGGAGCAGCGGCCACCATGGGGCTGCCCCAAGGGCYCCTTCCCGCAGGGCTGTCCCGGCCGCCGGACCCGGCGCCACTCGGAGAGGTGGGAAGCGCCGGCGCCTTCCCGAGGCTGCGAGGGCRGGAAAGGCTCCGAAGCAACGAGAGCAGCCACGTTAAAAATAATAGTCGTGAAAAGGGAAAAAAGCAGCTGGTTTAACTCCCGAACGCTCCTGCCATASCTGTAGCTCCAACCAGTGCTCAGTGACAGAAACTCTTTGTGCTTCTCATAATTTTGGGTTCTGGGCCATGATTCTCTCTTGCTGGAGAGATTTAAAAAGAGGGGGGAAAAGTAAAACAAACCCCAAAGAAACAACAAGCCAAACAAAACCAGAGGYGAGAGGACGATGTCCGACGGCAGGGACACCGTCACCATCCCCAGAACAACACAGGCGGGTTAAGGCAGCTTGTAGCAGTCGGTGCGTTCTTGCTAGGTTAGGCCTAGCATTTGGGGAAGGGATTTGGATGGGAGCTGCGGGCCGGGCTACGCGCCGCGCTCCGGAGCGAGGGCCGGCAATTCCACAGAACAGCAGCAAAAGCTCTGGGAACCTCGCGGCAGATCCCGATGGCAGAGCTGCRTCCGAGCCGACGGCACTGAGCAGAAGCGGGCACGGACGCAGCTTCGCAGGGAAGGGGTTTTAGCTTTAGCGCTTCCTAATTCCCTTGCACTGTCCGTAAGACAATTAAAGAAGGTTTCGTGCAACTAAGTGCAGCTTTCAAAGCCAGGGGAAAGCTGAAGCCCGAGCCCATTGCTCCCGGCCGGCATCGCCAGGTCGCCGCCCCTCAGCCCTTCCCGGTGTCCGCCGCTGTCGGGAGATGCCCTCGGAGCGGCCTCCCGGGACCGAGTTACTGAGTAACGGAGGGCGGGAGGGGGCCGCACCGCGGCTCCGCTCCTATCGCCGGGCGCATCTCCCGCAGCCAAGGCCGGAGCAAACACCCCCGCGGCCGCTCCAAGGGCAGGGAGGTGCAGGTGACAGCGGGAAAAAGCAACGTGAGAGAAATGAACACGGGAAACGCGCGGCGGGGCGGAGAGCCGCAGGCTGCCTGGCCACACACGTGGGTATCCCGAATGCCCGAGGGGAGGGCAGGATCCCACCGCGCCGGATCCCACCGTTCCGCCCTCCACTTGGCCTCGGGCTCGTTTTCCCAAGCAAACCAAGCMGACCAGCAAGGAAGGGGCGCTGGGAAAGGCCATCCCGCTGTCCCAGAGCCCGCGTTTCCCTTGCGCGGATGCGAGGTCTGGAGCCCCAACGTACCAGGAGGAGCCGAGCGGAGCCCCGGCCTCATCCCTAACACYGTCAGCTACAGTCGCATGCGGAGCCCTCGCCTTCCGCACACCCGCACCCAACACTCGCACGCAGCCCACGCGCAGCCCCCGGCTTGCCCTGGAACAACCGCCTTGCAGTTATTTACAGCTTACTCGGAGATGTCTGTGCCACTGCAGCCAGTCAAGCTCCCGACCAACCTCGTACGGCATTTTCATCTCTGCTTCACATTTAAACGTTGAATGTCTTTTTCAACCAACAAAACTGATGAGAAAAAGGTAGCAGCATTTATGAAAAGATGAAGGTTTATAACAATAATTAAAAAAAAAATGAAAAAAAAAAAAGGTACCATTATCCCGTTAGGGAGCATTAACGTAGGGACCGAACAGAGAAGCTAGTGTTTGGATAGACCATGCCACAAAATGGTATTCACCTTTTTGTGGACACATTGGATCTGAAAAGGAAAGAGCACCTGAAACATGAACAGTCCTCGTTAGCATGTGCGCTTTTTGCTTTTGTTTGTGATCCTGCTGGAAGTGCGAAACTTGCTTGGTTTTTTCTTCTCTTTTTTCCTCTTTTTTTAAGATTTTTTTCTTTTTTATTTTTTCTTCCTTTTTTTTTTTGTTTTTTTTTCCTCTTTTTTGGCAAAGTGCAACCACACCTGGTTACCACAGTTCTGACATGGCCGAAGGTGCAAGTGTGACGAGAAACCTCAAGTTCAGTTTAGGGTTCCCCTGCAGTTCTCAGAGCCACAAAGACACGGGATTTTTACATCCTCTATGGGAAACTTGTAGTCGTAGGTAATTTCCTCGTTCACATTGATGTGCTGTTTGGAGTAGATGACGATCTTCTTTTGAGACTCCACGGTGATCACTTTAGCATAACAATTTGGCTGCAAGGGTGACAGAACAGAGAATGATTTAGGCTCCCAGTGGCCAGGCCTTCCCAACCTCCACAGAGCTATTCCAAGCTAAAATAGAGGGATTGTCCTTTTCCCAGACAACCTCTGCCACATTCCCAGAGCCTGGACACACCAGAGCTAGCAGGAAGCTGGGAGAGGAAGGCACGAAACCTGAACACAGCCCTCCTTGTGCTCCCCTACAGCACCCGTGTTCTGGTCCCTCGTGGACCTGGCTGATGCTACACTGAGCTCATCACCGGCTAAGAGCACCTTCTCTGCCAACCAGGGCAGAAGATACTTTTTCCATGCAGATGATGAAAGAAGACTGTTACCACGGCACAGCAACAAGGCCAAGGCTTGCTCTGTTTTGAGGAAATACTCCCCAGATGTGGTTAAACAGCCTTCATCAGGATCTCCCAACACAGCTGGGATATTCTGAGCGCACTATCTCACCGCAGCTTTAATTCCTCAGCTCTCTCCAATCTCCTCCACATGCTCATTTACACTCTGCTTTCATCTACTGCATGTCCTTAACAGTTAATCATAGCCCTGCAAYGCTTTGCCACTCCTGAACGTGACCCTTGTCAGAGTTAGCAAGGGCTTGACAAGATTATCACTTCAGCAGAGCACAATTATACGAAGAGACGTGATACTTACATTGCAGCTGTGATTAATAAACCTGGCAAAGTTTCCGCACTTCGTGGCATCGATGATGGTGTCGTGGTCAACTCTGAACATGTAGCTGCTCCCGATCCCTTCATCCTCGTATCGCTTTTCACGCATGTCAGCAATGACCTGCAGGAAAGGCCCCCGCTGGGTCACAAGGTGCCACCGAGATGCTCAGTGCAGCACAGATCTGCGCTGCACTAATCTCAGCTGTGCTCGTGTCGCTTGGCTTTCCAACAGACCTATGACCCCCAAAACCCTCAGGGAACACAGAYTTAACTGAAATCACACAAGCTCACGAGGGGCTTTCCCAGAGCTTATTTCCTGAGGATTTGGGTGCCTCATTCCTATAGGTCACTGAAAATCCCACCCTTTCACCTCCAAACCATATGCCAACCTCTGCCCATCTTACACAGCCAATGCCTTCCAGCATAGATTCCAGCCAGATAATCCATTCTTTTAGGGCTGTTTTCCCCAAATTTCCCCCTAGCCCAGCCCCAGCCCCATAGCCCAGCTTACCTGCCTGATGTTCTGACCCACATATTCAATCACCATCTCGTCAGCTGCAATGGGCTCCATAGCAAAAAGGCCCCAGTCGTGAATGTGGCTCTTACAGAATTTTAGTTTTTTCTTCCGGAACTGCATGGAAAGAAAACACCCCCAAATCCCAGCCCAGAATTAGCCACAGCACAAAAACATGATCCGTAGGTCCACACTCCCTGCCACAAGCAGTGCTGGGCTGCATCAACCCAGTTCAGCTCCTTTCCAACCCAGCTCAGCTGCTTTCCACCCCAGCAGTGACAGGAGATGACAGAGGGGACAGGATGTCCCGCAGTACTTGTTTATTTATTTATTTATTTATTAACCAATGACCATTTAACCATTGGGCCTCCACAGTTGCTTGTGTGAGATGCGATTCCCTCCCCAGCTTTTGCTCTCAGCGTGCACGGTGCAGGGATGGTCGATAACCAGTTGTTTGTTCCTGATCAGCACAYGTGCAAATAAGGGCTCTGGTTCTGACTAGGGCTCAAGCTCCAAAAGATCATTTACCAAGCAGCTCATGTCTCTGCTCCTTGYAGGGGACCACACTGAGCCAAGTGTGACACTTTCCCCGTGATTTCTCTGCTCCTGTTTAGGTTACATTAGATCACTGAGGTCTCTTGAGTTTTATTATTGAATTGCAGAAGAGCCAAGCACCCCAAAGAGACTTTACACTGGCTCATCGCAGAAGAGCAGCTCTTTCCTCACAGGAGCTGCATCAACAGCACAGGCTGCAGAGCTCAGCTCCCCAAACTACCTCTGACCTGCTCTGCAAAGATAATTTTGCAAGAAAAAAAGTGAGGAAACACTCCTGGGGCTCACGTAATCCCTTGGCAGAAAACGAAGTGCCCAATGCCAAGATGACCATGACCAAGGCCAGGCAAAGCTGCCACTCACAGCTTGCCCCTGCCTGCACTTTGCCCTGCTCCTGGCCAGCCCCTGCACAAAGCAACGCTCATATGGTTTGTCCTACCTTGAGCTGGTTGAACTTGAGCAGGTCGCTGTCACAGCTACCAGTGAAGGAGGAGAGGAGCCTGCGCTGCTCTGACCGCCTCTCGGAGCCGGCCCGGGTGGAAGCGTGAGGTTGGGCAGGGATGCTCATACCCTGGGGACAGAAAAGSGATCAAAGACGGCCTTGTGGAGCCAAATCCCCTCATTCCCAGTCTCACAACAGCCTCTGTGCCGTGCACAATCACCTGTGCTACAGCACAACGCTGCAGAACGGGCGGCCTCGCAGAGCATCCCCGGTGAACACTCGACCACACTGCAACCCAAATGAGCAGTGAGCAGGGGCCCAGGCTCACCTGTGTGTCAGCTGGAGGCTCCTCCGCAAAAGCTCGGCTATTGTTGAGGTATTTAAGTTTGTCCTTCTTGTCAATTTTGTAATAGCCTTCACTTCGCGCGCAGCCCGTCACGTGCTCCCGCATCCCGTCATCCCGCTTCTTTTTCTTGGGAGTAGACAAGCTGGTTGGTGGAAATGAGTTAAGGAGCAACACAGCTACCTGTGGAAATCAGGCAACCTGGCACCGTTACATGCAGCTAGTGAGCAGGCAACGCCAGGAGCTTGGAAAACTTGAAAGGTGCAAAGAAACAACAATCCTGTTTTAAAAATCACCCACACAAGCCCACGTGCCTACAGGGAAGCAGCGCCTGATCTTTTYTTCTTAGCCGGATGCTTTGGGAAAAAATCAAGTGAAGACAAAAAGAAAGTTTAAACAGAAAGGTTAAGCTGTCAAGAGAAACCTGTTTGGAAAAGGATTTCCCCTGTGCACGGCCACGTACACAGGCAGCAGCTGCCCAGCCATCTGGACAAACTGTGTACTCTGTTTTCAATGGCACGCTTTCATTGCGCTTCCAGAAATCCCCTGCAGCTACCGCAGGSCCCGGGGAGCCAGCACTGAGCTCGCTGCACGGAGGYGCTTTCCACCACGGATGGGCACGGACACGCTCCTCAGCCCCGGGATTCCCTGCTGCCCGGCCTCAGGCAAGCAGCTCCTTTGGAGCTCCAGCAAAACCCTGCACGGCTGCGATGCAGCAGCAAAAGCACAACGAGGGGCAGAGGGAGCGCAGAGGTGCACGTGCCTTGGCCTCTGCACGGTGGCGGAGCTGCCCTCCTGACAGCACATCCCAAAACACGGCCACGAAGCCCCTGAGGCTGGAGGTCTGCCCCAAAACGCTCCCTGTGAATCACAACGTGCCCTTAACAGCGGAGCAGTGAGGCAGAGGGCATGGAAAGCAAGGAGCGAYGGCCTGGGCGCCAGCCGGAGCGCCGAGCCGTGAGCTGGCTGCAAAGGCAGGTACCTCCACACCGACTGCAGCGGAGCGCACGAGGAACCCACAACTGGCTACACATCATTTATATAGGCTTTCAAAAGTGACTGTAAATCCAGTGTTACAATAATCCTTATCAACAGGGGACAAGGTCTCAAGTATTTCAACCACACAAGTCAGGAAACGCCGCCGTGCAGAGGAGCATCTTCCCCTCCACTGCCCTGCCCTGGCTCCCCACCGCAGCGCAGCCAGCTACGCTGGCCTTCAAACCCACTTATTGTTGCAACTGCTTTCTCAAATAGGGCAGATTCACACTCAAAACTACTAGGGAAGATGCATTTTGTCACTCTTTCAGAATATTTCCCTCAAGCAAACAGATCTATTTTGGGGATTATTATACTGGTGTCAAAAGGCAGAAAATTATAAGTGTAATCTGACACGCTGTCCTTTGAGATGCAGAGAAAGCAAGCGCTGAAACGCAGCTCAGCACTGACCTCAACTTGCTTTTGCTAGTGTGAGTCATCTCACTAGCTATTTTAAGTGGTTTGGATTTTGATTTTCCCTTTTCTTTCTTTTTTTTTTTTGCATTCTCAAGAGGTAAAAAAAATAAAAATAAAAAAGCAGCAGCATCTTGCAGGGAGTTGGGGGACAAGATATTTTTACTCCACACCACCTGTGGCAGCGCAGGAGCTGGTGCACATTGCCTTCAACATGTGCCTTCATATTTGCTTCCTAAAAACATTACTGGACAGTTTTTCGGTTGCGGATGACCCCTTTGGGGTCTGGAGAGCGATGCCGACGGCTGCACGGACACGGTCCTTGCCTTGCTGCAGCTTCTGCCTCCCTCCGATGCCCCGAGCTGCCCCTGGGCTGCTGCTGAGCAGCTGGTTTGCAGGCAGGGAAGGTGAGGGCAGCCCTGGGCACCCTCTGGAGCTGCCCCTGCTCCCGGGAACAGGACCCGGCRCTGCCACCAGCTCTGCCTGCCCCTGCCGGCCTCGGAAACCACCGCCCTTGGGGTTATTTGCATTGAACTCAGCTAGCTGGAGCTGCTAGCACCACCGACACATCATTTCGGGCACAGATGGCGAGATTATTTTTACAACGCTTTAGCCCCAAATAAAAGCCCGGTGCAGACAGGGCCAAAATRCAGACTAGAAACTCCACAGGCAAGCTGAAAATAAAGTCTGCTTTAAATGCAGACAGAAGCTTCTCAAACTAGAAGGAAACTTGCCCAGAAGAGGTGCATACAAATTTTCCCTGCAGTTCTAGATGGAAAATGCAGCCAAAACAGCCACTTCTGCAGTATTTCCGTACTGCAGCTTCAGAGGAGTCTAAAACTCCCTGCTGACAAAAGCAATTGCTATTCTAATAAGTAAACGCTTCTACCACCAACTAATTTAGCCTTCTGCAAGGTAACTTCTACCCAATGACCGTGTAGTGTGTCCCCCTCTGGCTTCACTACGCCTTGAGCGTAACGCAGGCCGCCAGTGAGAAAGGATATAAGGATGGAAAACCCACAGGGTGTCGTTGAGCCAGTCCATACCATTGTCCTGCTGCAGCAAGCGYTCGTATGTGATGCACATGAATCTGATATCTTCCTCATCTATGCCCGCGTTCCAAATATCGTACAGGATGGTCATCTCCTCGAACTCGGAGCGYGGTCTGAACTGAGGCTGGGGTGGGGAGTACTCAGGGGAAGGAATCATTGGAATGTCCTCAGGGGTCTTCTTCTGCCTCCGCCACTGCCTCTTAGGCTTCACATCTTCTTCTTTGAAGTCTTCATTCCACTGGTTCTCCAGCTCTTTAAAAGGCAGTTTCTCTGTGACCGTTTCAGCYGCTATTTTCTCATGGAAGCTGTCATTCCTGAAATCCAGGGTGACGGCTTCAGGGTCTTTCAGTCCATAGAAAGCATCRGGATGCCCACTTAACAGCTCTTTGCTCACAGCACTTTCCACCAAGGCCACTGGGACAGAAGGAGGTTCTACGGTTTTGCCCGAGTAGACATCCAGTGAGAGGACAGAAGGCGGCGACCGTCTGGGCCGACCCGGCCTCCTTTTGGGAAGGACAGAAGGTGGTGGTGGGGGAGGAAGAATAGAAGCACCCATAGGTGCATCTGGCGAGAGCAAAACAGATTTTMCTTCTGCCTTGCACTCCTCGATGGGAATCCTTCCATCTCCGGSCATGCAGGGCAGGACTGCTACAGGTATTGGCTCATCAGGGGGCAAGCCCATGTCTGTGCGGAAATCTGCCTGGGGAGGGCTGGCAAAAGGGATGGGGGAAGGAACACTGTTCATGCTGACCACAAGGGAAGCACCGAGAGGCTCTTTAAAGGGTTTCTCATCCAGCTCCTCCTCTGACGGTTTCTTGCCAGACAGAAGGCAAGGAATGGTAGCACCAGCCTCTGGGAAAGTAGGCGTGAAATTGAAGTCTCTCCCAGGAGTCCGAGGAATGCCACTGTTAATGCCAGGGGATTGGGATGGGTAGGAAAAGGGGCTCCCTGGGACCTGAGGGGAACTGAGGGTCAGGCTGCTTCCCGTGAGGGGAGCATCGCTCCCTGGGGTGGCTGGAACAGTGTCCGTGCTCTGCGACTTGGCGAGGGGGTGCGAAGACTTGGCCAAAATGTCCCGCCCAGGAGTCCTAGGAATCTCTTCTTCTACAGGTGTTTTGGTCACCATTAACTGTTCAGGGAACTTTTCTGGAGGGCCTAAAGATTCCTCTTTCCCGGGAGTCGATGGTAAGGGGAGCACGGAAGATGGCACCTTGTGGGCTGGAAGCAGAAGAGCATCGGTCTCTGAATGAACGACCACCTCCCGCCCAGGCGTCCGGGGCAGCCGGTCGTCCTCCTCTGCTGCAGAGGGCACTTTTGCTTTAACACGGGCTTCTAAGCTGCTCTCTTCAGCCTTGCTAAAGAAGCTACTTTTATTGGGTAGAGGTTCCCCAAAGATTCCCACTGGAGTCGACAGACAGAGCGTTGCCTCCTCATCTTGAGATTCCGGCTTCAGACCTTCCGGTACCTCCGACTCGAGCATGGCAACTGCTTCGGACTCTTCCACTGCAAGGGAGAAAACAGAAAAGAATCAGGAGTTTTGCAGCCACTTGGTGAGCAGCACTTCGCTTCCATCAGCTTCCACTCGGTTACTCGCCACTCCCCAGCAAAGGCATGTTCAAGAAACTGCAATTACAGAACAGCTCGATTCCACTGGGAGGCTTTAAAAACTCCAGGGCTTTACATTTTGGAGACACGAGTAATTAGACACTACCACAGACATCCCTAATGGACCAATAAAAAAGAAAGAAAAACACTATTAATTTGAGGATTAGCTACTACACAGGCCAGAATTAAGGATTTCTGCTTACAAAACCCCTGGCCATGTTTTTGACAACCATAAAAAGCTTTAGTGGATTGTGAGCCGGGGGTTTTCAAGGAGAGCTCTCAGAGCCCCCAGCTGTCTGCTTTTCTAACAGGGAAGGTAAACTAATCCCAGGGCCAAGAAACAGCCTCACAGCTCTGCCTGGGGGGAGCAGGGAAGGCAGAAGTGTCACGCTCTTGAACACAACACTAAGGAAATTGGGAAGCCCTTGTAATGAATGAGGAGACGCTTGGGTGGTATCAGTGAGCACTTCATATCCTGCTCTCTCAGCAGCAGCTCGTTTGCCTGCAGTTTATTTACCTCTTTAAGGCCAGGGCCAAAAGGAGTCAACAGTGAATTTTCGTAGGGAGCTCACAATAACATTTTCAAGTGGGATGTTTGGAGGGAAAGTGCTCCCCATTTGTGCTGAGCCATCTGGAGAAGGGCTTGTTTGGCTGGGCAGGTCGAGCCCATTCCCACATTTCACCTCTAAAGCTCATTGAACATATCAAGATGCCCCAGTGTAGGTTTCCCCAAACTCCTGTTGTCCTGAATACCCTCCTGACTAAACATTTTGCCTCAAGAAATCTTTCAGATTTTGTGACAGCCTAAGAGTGATAGCTTGGGCAGGGACTAGATCTGCAGCTCTCAGGAGGCAAAACACTGCAGTGCCCCCATGGGCTGCCCTCTGGCACCAGCCCTGCCCAAGGCTCACGTTACAGGCCACACTGCATGTGCTCTCCTGCTTGGTTCCAGGCTTTAACTTGTCACTCCTCCCTGGATGCTGCAGTATCTGTCAGGCCTTATGCACTTCACTCCTCTAGGAAAAGGCTTCCAATTTCCTTGAGGATGTCTTCATGGGACAGATAGAGTTCTGAATGTAAGGATCTCAGATGATGACAACTGTTCAGTTCTTGCAGGACACTAATTAAACTGGATAAAATAACCACAGTATTTTTAGTAGCAGCAGGCCCGTGTGGAACTCCTTACTCAGGCAAAACAAAATTCAGCACAGACTTCTGTCTCTATGCCGGGTAAACCCCCAGCACAGAGCTGTGACTGSAGAAAGAGAAGGAACGGACAAGGCAAATATCAAATATATATAATGTTGTACTTGGATTTGATGCTAAATGACAATCCAAAAGGAAAATCATACCTGGCCTACAGATGGGAGACAGTGCGAGTTTTGTCTCCTGGTCTCTTTCTATAACCAGGAGTGTTTCAGCAGCAATAGATTCCTCTGGGATTTCTCCACATTCGTTTTCCCCCACCTTGACTTCTTCCATGCCTTCATCTTTTTCTACCAAAGCTGGCTCTGCAAGTCCCAAGCCCGTTGCATCCATGAAGTCATCCACAGGATACAGCTCCAAAATGGTCTCCCTCTCRTCATCGGGAATCTCATGACTGGCAGGCTCATGCTCTGTCTCAGCAACCATGGGTTCTCTATCTTGATCTTCAACCAACTCCTCCTCCTCTTCCTCCTCCTCCTCCTCTTCTTCATCCTCTTCCTCATCATCATCCGAGTCAGAACTCGACTCAAATTCAGAGGAGTCCTCACTTTCATCAGATGACTCAACTTCAGCCTTGGAAGATGAGGGACTTGCTACATCTTCTGCAAGAAAAACAAGTTAGTTCCCCTTTCTGACCTCATTAAACAATCAGGATTGCCACAGGAACAAAGAAAATTTCCTTGCTGTAACAAGATCCACAGCTGAGCATACAGGTTTGGAGGAGTTTTCTTCCCATATATTTATTTTAGTAGAGAAACACAAACCAAGTATTTGGATACTGCCAGTAGTTGTGATGCAAAAGGCAGTTCCCTGAGCAGCAGAGTGAGCTCCGCATGGCACCCTGCTGATGAGGGTCTCCGGGTGGCCTGGCTCTTTAGTGAAGTTATACCGAGAGTTTCTGCTGCATTCCCAGACAGCTTTAAAGTGTGGGAGCTGCTACCTTCCAGAACAGGAATTGTTTGATAGGATGGAAAAGTGACTTCATGCTAACCATGACCCATTTGAAAGATGGTCCCTTCTCCTCTCAGCCACACGTATTTCAAGAAACGGGCAGGATTTTAGCTGCCTTTGAGACTATTATCCTCATGAAACCGGGCTGGAATCACCCAAGGGCTGAAGGGCAGTTACAGAGGGACTCACAGACTAAGAGATCACAGAAGGCATTTAGTTACCTCGTATGGAATGACCCTTCATTGACAGACAGTGAGAAGATTAAAATCAGCTCACAAGAAGTGCAAAATGGAGACCATACCTGAGGTGAAATCTACGAGCCTGTAGATTCACCAGGAACTGCTTACCTTCCTCGGAGTCCTGCTCTTCTTCCTTGTCACTTGTTTCTACTCCTGTCTCTTCATCATCCTCTTCTTCATCCTCATCCTCCTCTTCATCCTCCTCCTCTTCATCCTCTTCCTCATCCTCCTCATCCTCTTCCTCCTTTGCAAGAAAGCATTGCTGAATGTGAACTGAATTGGRTCCTTTCTGCAACCTGACTGTCACTGCTGTTAACCCCAGTGACTCCCAGGGACACCGACCCCAGAGCTTCCTGGATCACTAACCCTCTGGGATTCCTTAGTGTTCACACTTTACAGTGGGCAATTTTGGAAGCTGAAATTACTAAACCCTCTGTGTTTAATGACAGATAGCATTTAAAACAGAACAATAAAGCCAACACACCTTGCCAGGCGTTGCTTTCACCAAGCTTCCCTCTTCCTCTTGCTCTTCTTCCTTCTCTGAGGAAGATTCTTCCTCTTTACCCGATGTCTCGTCTCCCTCCTCTCCCTCGCTGTCCAGCTCCAGAGGCCGTGCTGGTCGCCGTCTCAGTCCCACGGTTTCTGCATCCTTCTTGGACAGGTCAGATGTTGTGTCGGAAGCATCTCTGTCCCTTTCTGATTCTGGTGAGCAAAACAAGAAGGAAATAGCCCTCACATACCTTGCAAGTAAGGGAGAAAGCCCCAGGGATGGCAAATGCCAGAGGCCAAAGCTGACAACACGGGCAGAGCAGCCAGTAGACACAGCACCACGGAGATAAGAAGATGTAAGTTAAAAAAAGAAAAATAATAATAATAAAAAAATAAAGGTCTTGCCAGAGGTTTGTCTTGCTTAGGGAATTGAGAAGGAGGCATCTAGGGGCAAGGGGTTCAGACCAGCATGTGGAAGAGGGTGACATACACAGTACAGAGACCCTGTGTGGGTGCAGGTGCTTGCCCATGGATCAGAGAAGGAATGCAGAGTGCACAAGGCATATTTGGAAACTCCTTCCCTTTCTTAACCAGGGATGCATTAAGAGATATCAATACTTTAACAATTCTGGCTTTGGCTTACTTTTTAAAGAATGAGTTTGTGTATTTTGTTACATGTAAGATGCTTAGTTAAACTTGGTCTTTAGAATTTTTAAAATTAGCGTATTTTTCTTTTACTCAAATATTTTACAAAATCCTGTTTCTGTACTTGGGCTTCAAAACCAGTTTTTAAACTGGATCAAGTTTGTGGTTCAATTAATTTGAAATAAATTATCTTAAATAAAGGGTATTCAGGACTCCAAATTTTGAAGCAGAGCTTTTCCCTGTTTCCAGGAGAAAATGTCAAAAWTTTTTTTTTTTTTTTTTYCCTTCTGGGAAATATATATTTACATAAATCAAATGCAGGCCAAACCAACTCTCGCTTTTGTCCACAATGTACTTGGTGAGTTTACAAGTACATCTCTGGAACATGGTCCTTGAACTAATCTGAGCTCCCTCTGCTGGATGACCATCAGCAGAACTAAATTATGAGTTACTCATAAAATACATGTCTTAAATTTCCCACCAGTGAATTTAAGATAACAGAATCCAGAGGAGACATCTCCCAGCTGACTGGAGTTCTGTGAGAGGAAGGGTTTTGGCTCAGATCCTTGACTCTGTGTCTAACTGCAAGTGAGCACTCTCCTGTGAAGTTTAAAAGAATTCAGCTCTCATGTGGCTTGCATCTGCTCTTGTGTTTCAAACAAATGTGCTTTGCAAACCTTCATCTTCATCATCAACTGAAGTAGAAGGCCGGATTCTCTTCTGATCTCCTGCTGAGGCAGCTTCAGGTGGCTCCTTTCTTTTCACCTGAACAAAAGACACAATTAGCATTTCTAAAAGAGTTTAAAAGCGGCAGAAAACAGCTTCTCAAGCAAATGGCTACTGTTTTACTTCACCAGGGTGACATGTACCCAGAAACCAAGGACTACTTCCCCACAGCTCTGGATTCCTTTATCTGGTTGCAAATGAAATTTTACTGTGAATGAAATTCTATCCTTTCAATTTGCATCAAAACACTCTCAATGCCAGCATGGTGTATGCCACCACCAGGTACTTTGAAGATGACAGAGGAAACTCTTGAAAAAACACCCATGTCTGAGATGCAGGAAAAAAGAAACAGTCAAAGCCTGTGACATCGTAWCTTCGAAATCAAGTCCACAGAATCTCCTTCCCAACCTTCACTTGCATCTTCTGTGCATTTACACAGTTCATTTCAGAAAAGCCCTCTGCATCCTTTATTTATAAGATCCTTTCCATTTTCACGCTTCCACTTCTTGGCAGGAAGCACAAATACTCTTTGAAAAAAACAGGATATTTTCCCTAAGATCGCAGGACTGATTTTGTCAACTCACATGAGGCACAGAACCCTTTTAATCAGGCTTCCAGGTAAGAGTCACCTCTCAYCTGCAAGGCATTAACTCATTCTTCCAGATAGCCAAGCCTCAAACCCCAGAAATTCAGTAGTGCTACAGACCTATTATCAATGGTAAATCCTGCTCCAAATGAGTGTTGTTTAAACAGAGTTCTAAGCAGAGAAACAAGTGTTAACTATTACTTGCTTAAGCATATCATAGAATCACTATGGTTGGAAAACACCTTCAAGATCATCAAATCCAACCATGAATTTCAAACCCCACTGAAACTATGTCCTAACACAAGAAAATACCTAATGTCCTCCTGCTGCACCTGTAGGGAACATTAATATTTAAACAATAACTTCATTTTTACCTTGAAAGATGGCAACCGGATGGCCCCTCGTAGCCCAATGCCCAAGCCGATTCCCTCATATCCCAGGCCTTCTCCTTTGTTCCAGTTCTCCAAGAGACAGGACGTGATCCGATCCTTCGGCTTTGGTTTCTCCTCCAGTTCTCCTCCAGACTTCACTGGAGTGAGAGATGCCTGCAATTGAGACAGCACAATTAAAAGAGGAAAAGCCTCTTGGGGAATACACAAACTCGGAAAAAGCTCAGAGAGTTGTGGTTTGGGAATACCGCTCCCTGGCATCAGCTTCTCTGAAGCATCCTGAGATGCAGCACATGGCCACGTGCACGTGGAAAGAGGAAGGTGCAGGAATTGCTCTTGCTCACACGGCCCTTGCAGCTCTGAGAAACATTCTCCTTTTGCATTTTAAGAAGCCATTTTTTTTTGCCCAAGGCACTAAAACCACAGAAACCGAACCCGCCGGGTCCCAGAACAGAGGCTCGGCACAGGACACCTGGAAGCACTGTGTTAGGAGGTATCAGAGCAGCCTGTGCTCTTGCTTTCTCCGTTTCCCTCACACACAGCCTTTCGCCTTCCTTTGCTAACCCACATACCTGAAGCAAGTCCAGATCTTCCAATCGAGGAAACATTTTTTTCTTTCTAATGTAAGGCACAATAAACCAAATACAATCGTGTCCACGTGTTCACTTAGCAATCGGCCTCAGTCCACAACAACTGTTGGAAGACGCCCATCGGGGACAACAGAGGAAAAGTAAATTATGTGAAGAATCCATGAAGGAAGGAAGGGAGCCCAGATAAGCTGGAGCTGCCCAGGAGGCAGCAAACGGGACCAGGGGATGCGGAAGCGCCCGGCACGTGGCTCTTGAGCAAAGGGCATCGGAGGTAACGTTTACTTCTCTCCTCACCAGTGGGGGCTCCCGCTCCAGGAGCCGCTTCCTTTCACAGACGTTCCCGAGCTAATTTGCTGAAGCTGAGTGTAATCACCGAGCAGGAGGCGCCAGCTCAGCTCTGCTGCTAATAAGGGACAAGACTAATGGGAATATCAAGGCGAGGATCCACGGCCAGGCTGGGTATTCCTGGCAGGAAGCTTAGCGGGGCCTCCTCTGGTGCTGATGCTCCTCCAGGAGCAGGCTGGAGTTATCCCGAGCTCCAGCGACTCGCTGCCCGCATGAGCTCCCATCGCTCCCGACCTAGGACATGCTCTCAGGATGACAGATACTAAGAGACACTATCTCTCCCTACGGATCCGTCGTGCTTCTTTCCAAAGACAGAAAGATGTTGAACAAGCACCTATGCTGTCTTATCTAGCCCCTCAAACCTCTGAAAATGAGTTGTTTCGTTACTATTAGTAAAGAAGAATCATATGGGAAGCTCCAACTAAATCCATTAGGAGGGAGAAAACAAGGATGCAGGGCCAGTTTTGGCAGGTCACTTGCGCACGTTGCCTGGGGGTGCAGGAAGGTGGGGAACAGACGTTGGGCTGCACGCGGCAGCGAGGGGCTGCACGGTGCAACCCGGCGCCTGGCAGAGCCACCCGCGGAGCGGCGGCACGGCCCAAGCACACGCGAGAGCTTTGCTCTCCTTTGCAGCCTCTTCCCGTTTCTGTGATTCCTGCAATTTTGCATTTTCAACCTGCAGTATAACCCGCGTCGAGTACCGCATCGAGGGGCTGAGACGCTGCTRGCTTCCAGGCGGGCTGCGGATTCCAGGGCAGGGAGGAACGTGGTGAAGCCAAGCGCAGCGGCGGGCACACGACGCCGAGCAGCCGCCACAGACCTGCCTCGACTCGCTCGCTTCTACACTGTGGAGTTGTCTTTAAAACTTCCCTGGCTGCCGGACGCTGAGGCCGCTGACTTGGTGCCCGCGTTTCCTCGCCGCCCKGGAAGCGGAGCCTCCGCTCCAGTCAGGATGCGCTCACTCGGTGGAGGCACCAGCCTTGAGTGTTGGTCAGGAGCAGGACCGACTTCCTCACTGTGTGCCAGGCCAGGATTGTGTCGTGTCGCCAACCTGTTCGGAGCCGTGTTACCCACGGCCCTGGAAAGCCAAGGAACTCTCCTGGACACGAGAGCCACCGTGAGACTCGCTTACAGCTGCACGTGGTGAAGATACCAGCTCTGAGAAACGCTGTCAGAAACAGAAAATGCATCTGCAGCTTGTTTGGCTAAAATGACTCTGTGCAACATCACTTTGAGGTCTGCGTTCACCTTTCCAGAACGTTACCTTTTCTTTGAAGAGAGCAAGGCAGCGTGTATTAGCTCACATTGCTGCTCGCTGCTTAAGGCTCAACTTAAATTGGCTGTGAAACAACGGAACGATTCATGCAAAGCTTTTCCTTCCTGCAAGAGCCTCGCGACAGGTGACGCAACCCAGGCATGGGCAGCCAAGGTGCAGGGTGCGCTTAGTCCCTCGCAGAAACGGGGGCTGCCCTCAGGGGTGCTCCAAAGCTGGAGGAGTGATGCGGAAATCAACCCAAAATGAAGGGACTGCAGTGAGAACAAGGTGCTCTTCCAGGCTTACACCAGCGGCACAATGTAAGAGCAAGTAAAGGAGGAGCAGAACCACAGAACGGCTGAGGTTGGAAGACACCTCTGGAGATCATTTAGTCCAACCCCCTGCTCCAGCAGGGACACCCAGAGCACAGGGTGGCATCCAAGACACTCCTGCCAAACTCCCTGGGAATCCCGGCAGTCTGATCCCAGAGCAGGGCTCCAGGAAAAGCCTTAGAGATCTGCTGAATAGGATGGCTCTTCCTAAGGGATACAAATACTGTAGTTTACTCAGGTAGAACCTGGTCAATCCTGCTACGGTCTATTACGTCCTGAGTCAAAAAGAGCTTCCACTCAACATCTGTGGGTCAGGAACACACAGGCCTCTCAGGTAATTTTACCACCCTCAAGCAATGGGGTTTCTCATAGCAAAGTTATTCTATGCCTCTATTTTTCACTTCATTTTCATTACCATAACATTTATGGGGGTGGAGTCTTTCAACCTTATAGCCCTGCTCACCCATGCACTGACCACAGCCCATGCTTCCCTGAGCCCCAGCACGGAGGTAGCGAGAACCCACCTTCGCCAGCCGCTCCTTCTTGTCCCACCAGTCATCGAAYGCCCGAAACGCCACCACTTCAACCATCTTCCTGTTGAGGTCCCTTTTCATGATGGCCTTCAGTTCCTTCACGATGACCAGGAGGACTCCATCCACAGTAGCTTTATGGGGATCCTCCTTCTTCGGCTCGTAACCCGGCGGCGGAACCGAGGGGTCGAACTTGGGCAGCGGTGGCCACTGCTGCCCACGGCCAAGCGCTGCTCCCATGGAGAAGGGGCGGTAGGGCGGCAGGTTCAAGAACTGCATGCGGGCCCCCATGAAAGGTGGGTACTGGTAGGTGTTTTGTGCCTGCATCATGCGGCTCAGCATCTGGGTTTGCATCTGGAAGGACATGGGCATGCCGCCCCAGTGGTTGCCCAGGACGCTGATCATATCCACCTGCATGACGGGGAACATGCCGGGGTGGAAGGGAGGAAGCGGAGGCAGGATGTGGGGCGGGGGCACCCCGGGCGGCGCGGGCAGCGGCGGTGGCGGGACGGTGACAGCGGGGTGCGTGGGTGGCGGTGGCGGCGGCAGCGGCGGCGGCAGCGGGAAGCCCGGCTGCGGAGGAGGCGGCGGCGGCGGAGGCAGGGGCGGGAAGCCCGGCGGGGGCATGGGGATGGACGGGGCCATCACGGCCGTGTTGCTCACGGACGAGTTCACCACGATGGCTTTGGCACATTCCGCGCTGGTGATGGGCGCTGGATTCATCTCGTCGTCGGAGATTTCCATGTCCTCCCCTGAAGAGTGCTGACCCTGCGGCAGAAGAGAGAGGGCAAGGTGAGGAGCACAGCCCTTTCACAATAAACACCATCCCGCTGGCTGCTTCACACAAAAGCTAAGCTTAGCACGTGCTTTAACAGGGAGCGGAGCAAAGCGCACGACACTCTGCAAGGCCGGAGCCCGCGGAGCAGCTGCTGCCTAGTGAAGCTATTCCGGCCGCGCCAGAGCTCCAGAAGCGGCGAGGCAAAAGCCTTTGGAAAGCCTTCGGCAGCGAAACCCGCTGCCGCACGGAGCACGAGCAACTGCTGCAGACAGGCGCCCAAGCCAAACGCCTCGTGCTGCAAGACACCTTATCTCTTATTTACATCTAATACTGGCAGGTGCATTACACCACGGGGGGTGATTCTTTAGCTTTCACCACACACAAAGAAACAATTCCCAACTTTTTTTTTTTTAATTATAGTCCTCACTAGCTGTCAACATTTCACCTCTGCTTGTGGGCAGACACAACACTTTGCAGCAATGGTTGCTGCTCCTCCAACTTGTCTCAACGAGGCCAAAGCAACTCACACTGGGGGAAAAAAAGCGGACACCGAATCTGCTTCAACTCCCTTTCCCCTTCGTGGGTTTGCTCCCTCATCAATGCTGGGGTTCAAAGACACAGCACATGCCAAACTCCTAAGCAAAACAGGTACTTTACTGGCCATGAAAAATGCAACTGTAGGGTTATATAAAATGCAAAACAGACATCCTACCTCCAGTGATGGAAAACGGATTGTAAGGGAAGGTGTCCCTTGCTCAGGGCACAGCRGCAGCCCTCCCTGCGGGGGCTCCACAACCAGCAGAGCTCAGCCTGCACCGAACCCGCACGGGCTCCTTCCTGAAGCTGCTGAGACTTGATTCCTAACCTGGGAATTCTGTGCAGGGGTCACAGAGGGAGCGGGAGCAGGGGAGCGCCAGCCGCCCAGGCGAGCACGGAGCCTCGTGCGGCACCAGAGGGCCCCTCGGCCGCCAGAGAGCAGGCTGAGCGCGGCAGCGAGCGGGACACACGCGGTCGGTGAGCGGGGCGAACGGGATACACGGCAGCGAATGGAACGCCCAGCCCCGCGCCACCCTCTTCCAGCTCCCCTGCCCGCACAGTGCCCAGAACACTCCAAAAAACCACRACCTCTTCTGAAGATGCTTTATAAGCCCCAAAATGAAGAGGTGGAAAAAGGAGAAGGGCAAATCGTGACCCGCTGAACTTGTGGCTTTCAGAGCCCTGTGTCGTCYTTCCCTCTGCCAACTCTCCACCGCTCACTACCCGAGCAGCCTCGTCCGGCCTCGGGAGACCGGCTCTGCCCGGAGCTCCCGCTCGGACYGGCCTCAGAGGGCCCTTTAGGTGCAGCCTCAGCACCAGCAATCCTGCCTGTGAACGAGGACGGTTCTCCCTCCTCAGGGAAAGATCAGGTGGGAAAAGCTGCTCCTGATAGTACCGGGAATGGGCAGGACTGGCCAGACCCCACGTTCTGGTGCCCAGGTGCTCGYTTCATTCGCACACATGTTCATTCCCTCCACACTGAGAGTTGCTAAAGCAGCACTAACATTTCTGGAACACTGAGACTGGTCTCAAATGCTCCGGGGCTCGGACAGGCCTGTGGGAAGGACGAGCAGCCGCTCCGTATCCCGTCCAGCCTCACAGTCCTTGTGCACCAAGCTATCCGTGCCCTGGCTTCACCCTGAACAAGGCGGAAAGGGAGCGAGAACGTTGGAGCTGCAGGGAGAAACGGGTGGAAAAGACAGCAGGGAAAAAAAAGAATACACAAGGTTAGGGAAGAGGTCACAGCGAAAGGAGAGCAGCTAGAAGGAGAAGTCTTTAAAGAAAGTTGAAAGAGATGAATATTTAAAGAGGAAGAGCAGCTACAGAAAAGTTATATCCAAGGGGGAAAAATATAGGCACCAACTGAGCGAGATCAAGCTGCAGAAGCAAAAATAAAAGTCAAGGGGAGACACAGAAATATCTTTTGTTATATGGACTCCTTTTCATTCACCCTTCTGAATGCGGATTGACTGGCTGCTAGCAAGGATGTCTGAGGGTAGATTTAAAAAGCAGCTGTGCTACCTTCCCAAAGCTGCTGCCTTTTCGCTGTCTCCCCCTCAGCTTTCACAGCACTAAAGAGGCGAGCTGATCCGCAGCTTCCGTGTGACAGGGAGGCTGTCACCTCCATCCCTGCCCCAGCCCCGGCTCGGCCGGCCCCGGCGCTCCCCGGCACGCGCGCGAGRGCAGCGGAGCCCTCGCAGGAAAGCCTCCCGTCAGCCCGCTCAGAGAAAAGCCATTTGCAACTAAATTAATTTGCACCGTCACCTTCACTTTGCATTAATTAAATTAAGAGTTAGCAAAACAGGTATTTAATTATGTGCATGACACATTTTCCAAAGGTGTTTTAACGACGCAAATTTGTTGGGAGAGACTCACGTCAGCATCACCAGCTATAAAGGGCCCGGGTTGCTCCTCACCCCGGGCACTCGATTTTAGCACTGGCAGCCAAACGAAGGGGACATCCCAAGACCTTGTTCCCGATCAGCAAGAGCACAGAGAGCTACTGAATAYGGGATACTGCTCTTAGAGCAATACCCAGCATCTAGCAAGCACTGAAATACTTTTTTTTGGCACCAGTTTAGCCGTGTTTGGGGTAAACACCCTGTTTCATTGAATGTTGTGGCTATTCTGTCACATCCTCACTGGGTCCTGCTGCACCAAGCAGCAGGACGTGGGCTCAGCAGCACTCATTAAACAGCTACTTTAAGATATTTTAGGTATCAAGGTGAATTTTATCTTCAAATGACATTATATTTGTCGATTCTGATATTCCTTGGTGAGATATTTAAGTAGCAATCTGCCTTCACCAGAGCTCGCTGGCAATGGTGGGAGCAAAAACCACTCCTTAAACCTGGGAACACTCCACATCGGCACACTGCGATCGCTGCCACTCCACCAGTTCACGTGARGTTTTCAGCAAAGCTAGAACTAAAATCAGAATTCCTTCTGGGATAAAAAGTTATCAGAATTCTACAGAAGCTAAACTGTTGCTGCTTGTTTCTGTCTAAAAAAAAATTGCAAATGTCATCTGTATTTACAAGAAAAAAYGCACCTTTCAAAAGCAGCTTTCAGGCTATGTGAAGAAGGGCAAAATGCAACAGTTGGACCAAGGCGATGGACTCGCCCTTGTCTCACTCCTTGGAGGAGGCAGCAAATCACATGGGTGTCCTCATTTCTTCATTGCTGCCTGCAAAAGCCTCTCTCCCTCTTTGATAAGGAGACCTGGAGCTGGAAGTGATGCCAGCAGSCTCCCTGACAAACAGCCCGCCTCGGCTTGGCTCAGCTGGGGCCTGCTGCTTATCTCCGGGCACCCTCCCCACACCTACGGGCTGAGCAACAGGTGAAGCGGGTGACAGTGACAAGCACGGGGTAAACAAACAGCATCTCCCRGAGGAGAAGGAGGGGAGGAAAAACACCCTTCCTGGGGGGCTGCAGCGGGCAGGGAAGCGGCTCTCCCAGCAGGGAGGWGCGTGTCTGGAGGGCACCAAGTCCCGGTACATCGAGGGTGCCGGGGAGCTCGGGCACCTCAGGGGGCTCTCGATGCTCGGTTGCTCCTTGGCAGCCTCCAGAGCGGCCCCTGTGCCACCTGCCCGCAGTGGAACAGCATCCAGGAAGGGACAAGGCAGTAGTTTGGATCCSCTTTTCCTAAGGCACAGCTCCAGGGCAATTAGTAGGACACAGGGCATGCAGTGGTGGTCCACACGGAAATGAAAAATAGGGGAAAATAACTGCAACTAGCGGGCACAAGAGGTGCCACCAACCACACACAGCAGCCCCATGGCGACATGTCTGGATTTTCCTTTCCAAAAGCTGCGAGGACCCTGGGGGGAGCAGCATCTCCCCAGCAGCCTCTCCACCTTCACCTCTCCCTCAAGCCGGGACCTTCTTTGGTTCAGCACCAGATGGAGGGAGGGACATGTCTGCGTGAGGCCGGGAGGACGGAGGTGGGAAGTAAGCCCAGCACAATTAGTGGGCTGAGGTAATTAGCTCTTCGCTGATCTAGGAGGTGGCAGACTGGAGAACTGCGGTCCCACAGGGGAAGGCTCAGCCAGGCTGCCTCATCCTAGGGAGGCAGCTCCATCCTGAACCTTCCAGCAGCACTTTGGAAGGCAGGAGCTTCCTAGGGTGGCAATTCCCAGAGCTACRGATTAACCTGGCGGGAAAACAACTGCCAGATTTGCAATAAGGAGGAGTTTGAAGATGAGATGAATTGGCAAAGGGGGCCACAGCTTACCCTCCTTTCTAGCAAGAGCAGCAGCCTGCGGAAAACACGACAGTTGCATTCAGGTGCATCCTCCTTCCCTAGGGGAGGCAGCTCCGAACTGTAGGCTCCAAGGTAGGGGATGCAGCGATGCTGCTCCAGGAAGCAGGGTGGCCAAGAAAGGGATGTTTGGAGAAGTCAAATACTTCCCTTGAGCTTCCAGCATGTGCAAGAGTCTGCAGGCATCCACAGGGAAGCAAGCGAGAGCAAACACCTTCCTCCGAGCTCATCATCCCTGGGGCTGCAACCACGGGACCTGCACAGGGAGCATCTGAGCAGGTTCAAAGGGGGCCCTCCTACCCGGGAGACCACCTCGGAAGACGACGGCTGTATGAGAAGGGGCTCAGGTGGCCCCCAGCGCAGAGCCAGCCTGGGGGCAGGGACATCGGCCCGGCCACTCATCCGGATGGTCACAATCCGAGCAGGCAAAGCCAACACGCACCAAGGGGGCGGCTGCAGCGGGCAGCTTCTCAGCATGGACAAAATACTCAAAAATTGGATTTACCACCACATGGAACTGTGGTCTTTTCCACCAAGCCTTAAGTAGGGGGTTAAAAATAATAACAAAAAGAGTGTCACCTCACTGGGAGGAGGAGGAGGGAAGAGGAAGGAGGGAAGAAGAGAGGGGTGTTGACCTTGGGGAGCCACATGCTAGGGCTGCCCTTGGCAATGGCTGGTGCTGGGTTCTCTGTT